GCCACTCCCAGAGTAGTCGCTAATCTATGACCACCTAATACTGTCGCAAATCGGTCACAGTTATGACGAATTTAAGACTCCCAATTATAAGTATATGACCTCCTAAAACAGTCGCACATCGGTCACTTGTATGACGAACGTAAGCGTTATAACTTAGTCGCATTTACGTCGCTATATTACTACGATAAATTTTCGTCTCCATTTGTCACACATATATGACGGAATAATATCGTCACGGATTAGTTGCAAATAAGCGACGGGTTTGCGATGGATCTATTTTGCGATAAAAAATTAGCGACGCCTTTTATTCGTCCCAAACCGTCGCAAAAGACCTTTTCGCGACGGATGTGTGACTATTTTGGGCGTCGCCAATGGGCAGTTTTCTTGTAGTGAAGTATGGTTGTTGGGGTTAAAACTCCCATCGGCTGAAATCATCAAGAGAATGGCTAAGTATTATTTTGTTTGGCGAGCTGACTAAGCCAACATACATAATGGCAAGCTGACTGAGTCAATAGGCAGAATGGCGAGCTGACTGAGTCAACAGGCTGGATTGGGGAGCTGACCAAGACAGACAAGACGAATTGGCGAGCTGACTAAGTGAACAACCCAATTAACGAGCTGGCTAGGTGAATGAGCTAAAACAGCGAGCTGGCGAGTTGAACGATTACATTAACGAGCTACAAGTTGAAAGAGAGAGCTCGCCAAGAAACTCACTTCGCTATAGGTCGAACCAAGCGCGTTAATTACAAAGATGAGTGGGCCAAATTTAGAGTCTACGACGATGAGACGATGAGACGGCGAGCCCAAGGTCAACAAAGACGAAGTGGCGAGCTCAAGGCCTAGGGAAGGCAAAGCCTAGAAAAGAGATGCGACGAGCTAGCCCACGAAGACAGAGCCCATGATCGTGGCCGACTTCAATAATAGAAAATTTCTAGAAATTAGAAAATCTTTCTTATCTCTTTAGGAGTTGATTTAGCCGTCTCAAACTTGTATAAATAGACATGTACATCTCTTGAGAAAGGGATTCGCAACTTTTCATAAGAACACTCTGCAAAAATCAATAAAAATTTCTTAACAGTTAATTCGCATCTTTGTTCTTGTCTTTTTGGTTCTATCTCAGAGATCCTAGCTTTCTTCTAAAAACCATAACAAATTTGATTGTGTTAGTCTCACCCTCCACAATGGTAGTGCATAATTTTTTAAAAAAAATTGATTTAACTATTTATATCACAAAAGTATATCTAATAACACTCTAAATAGGAGTATCTCACATGGTATCTCAACAATTTAAAAATTTTAAAGTAATCAAAAACAGGAAAGAGAATGAAATCCGTCTTTCAATGAAGAAACACTTATATGACATTTAAGAAAATTGTTTGCCACTTGGTCTAACATTATTGGTTTAATAATTTTTTAATAATTAATGAAATAAAATCTATTCTAATAATATTTGTGAGAGACCAGAAGAGTTTCTCCCTATTAGAGGTGCTCTAACTTTTCTTTTAACTCATTATTAATAAATTTTCACAATTAAATTTGAATGAGTTAATGCA